ATGGATTTGAGATTAAGCCACTTAGGGACACTGCTGGTGAAGCTAAGCAGGTGGAGTCATTCTGGAAAGCTATTTGGTAATATATTTCAATAGCCTTAAAAACAGTTATATCCTTTGTCCTAGAAATTATACCCCTAGGAATATATCCCAAGTTATAATTAGAGATACAGACAAAAATTTATGTAAAAAATGTTCACTATAGCATTATTGATAATGGCAATCTGGGAATAGTGAAATGTTGGAAATGTCCCAACAGTAGGGGTATTCTGAGCATTTATTACAAATGATGTGTTAAAGAATATTAGATGAACTGGCAAATGCTCAGCTCTAAGCTGAAAGATGATTCTGACAAAATTAGAATATATGCAGCAAGAAATAAGTAGAACAAACATACCAAATGTTCATAATGATGGCATTGTCATTTCTATTTTATATTTTGTATATTTTTCCCATTTTATAGTATATTCCATATATAAATCCCATATTTTATAGAGAATATGTTTCTTTTACAATTAAAAAAGACAAGATAAATTGTTTTTTAATTGGGTCATATTGAAATCCCATAGACTTATGACAATGAAAAGTGCATACCGAAATCATCAGTATGGTTAATGGGCACTCGTATCCCAGTCTTCAGGCCAGTAATGAATTTTAATCGGAATTCACTTACTTTCAAGAAAGACACGAAGTGCCAGGACATCTAATCAATGATTGAATCAAGAAGTACTTACTGAAAATTTATTATGTGTCTACAACTTTTATAGGAATGCCTCCGTGTAGCCCATAAACTCCAGGGCCCCTCAAGATACCAACTCTAGTGGTGTTGACAAGGACTCTCTCCTTGACCAAACTTTAATGGGGCTCCTCCAAGCCCTTTTCCCAACTGGCCTTTGACCTTGGGCTTCAGTCTTCCTCCTTGTTGGTCTTGCATCACCCGGTTTTAGCAAGAATCCTGTTTAGAGAGAATCCCCTGTCCTTGATATCTGACCACCGTGGTCTGTCTTTAGCAAGAATCCTGTCAGGTAGGTTTAGCAAGAATCCCCCACCCTTGATGTCTTCTCTCAGTAATTTCCATCTACCGACCCCTGCAACCTGCTGCTCAGATATAAATCTCCGTGTTCCTTGTTGTATTGGGAATTGTGCCCAGTTCTATAGTGAGATCCCCTCTCTTGCAGTAGTTCCTGATTAAAATCTGTTTTTACCACTTTAAACACTCTCCAGCTCTGGTTCTCTTTAAGTGTCCATAGTGCCTTCCTGAAAACTGATTTACAAAGCAGATCATTTTAAAGCAGTTCAAATTTCCCCCATGCTTTAATTTGGTATTATGTACTCAATGAAACACCTAGCATCATATAAATCAGAGCTTCATAGCAAAGACAGGACAACTCATTCTCTACAATCGTATAAATCATAAAATTATTCTTCAAATCACAGAATATTAAAGCTGGGAGGAGCTTTGGAGGTTATCCTTTTATTTTATAAAAAGGACACAAAGGTCAAGGTTACCACCTTGGCTAAAGCTGCAGTTCTTCGGGGGCAGAAGCTGGAACCAGATTGCAAGTTTGCTGGCTCCTGCCTTAGCCTATTTATTCATTCCACTTGCTTCCCGTAAGCGCAGCTGTTGATTACACGTGGTGCTCCAAAGACAGCATAAAACTCTGCTGTATCTCAAATTCAAGGATGTCTAAAACAAAAATGCTAGCTCTGATATATATTAAACACTTAATTGACATTAATTTAGAGGGTTTTGGGGGGAATCATTGGACAGTACTGTGTGATATTTGATTCATAGTAAGTACGTATTTTGGTCTTTTGGCTAAGTTTCTGGGTCATAGCTCCCCAAACTCTTGAAATTTCCTGAATGATAAGAGCAATAGGGGCATCTTTTGTTATAATATTTTGTTTCTTGTCCTCCATTCCTGAAATCAGATCCATAAAGGTGAAATAGATGTCTTGCTATTCACAACAAGCCCCTTTCAATCACAATTGAGTTTATGTTAATGAGGTAACTTTGGGGCATCCCTAAAGATGAGAGAGCTGGTTGCCAGGGGAACCAACCTCAAATAGAGGGTTTTGGTGGCACTCTCTGATTCCTGGGCAGGGGAGAGGGACTGGAGGTTGAATCAATCACCAAAGGCCAATGAGTTAATCAATCGTGCCCATGTACTGAAGCTTCCATAAAAAAACCAAAAGGACAGAGAGCTTCCATGTTGATGAATGAGAATGCTTCTACATGCTACTCTGCTGGATCCCAAACTGCAGAGGGACAGAAGCTCCTTCGTTTGGTACCTCGCCCCATATATCTCTTCATCTGGCAGTTGGTTTGTAGTCTTGAATATTCTTTGTCATAAACTGGCAATCTATAGTCGTGAGTAAACTGGTTTCCTGAGTTCTGTGAGGCACTCTAGCAAAGTCATCAAACCCAGAGAGGGGGTCATGGGAACCTCTGATTTCTAGCCAGTCAGTCAGAAGCACAGTGACAACCTGGACTTTCTGTTGGCATCTGAAGTGGGGGGTGTGTGTGGCAGTCTTGTGGGACTGAGCCCTTAGCCAGCAGAATTTGATGCTGTTTCCAGGTAGACAGTGTCAGAATTGAGCTGAATTGTAGGACACCCAGCTGGTGTTGAGGAAAAACCTACACATTGGAATTAGGTGCAGAGTTGGACTCTGATACCTTACAAATCTAGCATCCCTGGGAATAATTTATTTCACAGTATTTCTTGAGTACCTATGAGATGTGCTCAGCACTGAAAATGTAGCAATGGGCAGGACACAGCTCCTGCCCTCAATGAGTTCACAGCTTTGGGGGAGCCAGCCTAGTGGCAAGGTGAACGCCATGCAGCTATGATGAGAATCAATACAGGGCACCCTGGAAGCCCTTAGGAAGATGGCCTGATCAAATGGGGGGCGGAGGGAAGCTTCCTGTGGACCAGTAGGGCTTGTGGGGGTGTGGGAGCGAGAGGAAGAGCATTCCAGGCAAGGGACCCAGCATGGTCAAAGGCCTGGAGAGGAGAAATGATGTGAGCCCCAGGGACTAAGAAGGGCAGAATTTTTTAGGTCCTTGGAAACCAGAGAGGGCTCCATGGGGAGTGAGGAGAGCAGAGGACAGCAAGGGCCATATCAGGAAGGCCTCCCCAGCAAGCAAGGCACTTTTAGAGATGTGGATTCCATCCCAAAGACGAAGGGGAAAACGGAGGAGTTTAAATCAAGAGTGGTGGTCAGACGTGGTCTTTAGAGAGATTAATTGGGGTGTGGAGGAGAAGGAGTTAGAGGGGTCAGGATTTGGGGCAGGGAGGCTGTCCCAGTCCTGAGGAGAGTGACAGGGGAATGGCCATGGGATGGAGACAAGCAGATAAGTAAGAGAGATGCTGGGGAGGTAGCCAAGTGAGGACACAGAGAGGGGATTGTGTGACAGGAGTCTCCTTTGCCTGCTTTGGTTTCTCGCCTTCTGAATGAGCGGCCCTGAGGGGAGAGCGTTCTGCAGAAAGGCAGGCTGCAAGAGGCCGGGGACAAGGAAGGGCAATCAAGTCTCCATTCTTGGTTCTGTGATATAGGGGGACATGCAGAGTATGAAATGGCCTCAGGGTTTGCTCGCTTTGTGTGTTTTATAGGAGCTAAAGCCTTCCTATTTCTGACTCCCCACCTGCCCTATGTAAGAAACCCACTAACCAATGGGGGAGTGTGAGAGGCGGCAGCCTCTCAAAGGACAAGGTGGGAATGAAGGAGCCTGAGCTCCAAAGTGACTATTCGTTAGGGGGTTGGTGGGGCAGTCTGGACCAGATCCATATGGTCCCGCCGACTCCCTGTCTAGTGTCCTTCCACTCTGTGCGCGCCCTCTTGTCTTCCCAGGGTCACCTCTTTCTCTTTCGTTCTCCAACTCTGCTGTGTAGAACCCCTCCACACAGACCTGGAACATTCTGACTATATTATGGGTTGAATTTTGTCCCTTCTAAATTCATATGTTGAAGTCCCAGCCCCCAAAACCGAATGTGACCTCATTTTGAAATAGATGTGATTATTTAAGTTCTGATGAGGTCGTACTAGAGTAGATTGGGCCCCAAATCCACTATGACTAGTGTTACAAGAAGGGGAAATTTGGACACACACAGATACCCAACCCCACCGAGGAAGAACACCATGTGAAGATGCAGGCAGAGATTGGGGTGATGCCAAGATGTACCAAAGATGGCCGGCAAACGTCCAGAAGCTGGGAGAGAGGCATGGAGCAGAGTCTCCATCACTGCCCTCTGAAGAAACCAACTCTGCAGACACTTTGGTTTTGGACTTCTAGCTTTCAGGACTGTGAACGAATATAACTGTGCTGTTTCAAGCCACCCAGTTTGTGGTATTTTGTTGTGGCGCCCTAGCAAACAAATAGACCGCCCAAAAGGTCTTTGTACCCTTCCCTGGTAACATTATAGTGATCCACAGGGTTGCTCCATCCGATACGGCCAGGGCACAGCAGGGTCAAGATTAATAGAAGATTACCCTTGGGCTTAATGCTAAACCCATCAATCCTTTTCTCTCTTCCGGTTGAGGTGCTGCTCTTCGAGAGCCCACCCGAAATTGTGTTCTCCGCTGATCACGGACATGGGTTTCGTCTCTAAAATCATAAGTCACCAATGGTACGAATAAGGCCATGTCAGTGATAAGAATTTTTTGTTTTTGAGAAATAAGAAACAAGATTTCTAAATTCAGAATCTGTAAATGTGCTCCATCTGAAACATTTGCTAGTTGCTGAAGAAGGCAAGATATGTGTGTAATATGTACACACATGTGATACATAATTTTCTTTATACAAAAATATATACACACGTACATCCTGAATTTGATCTACACTGAACATTCTCACTTAAACGTCTCTCTAAAATGTTTATCATAAAAAGATACACTGCACTGTTTATATGCTCTGTCTTGGTTTAAACCTTTTCTTGGCAAGATTCTTTGGACCTTAGGAAAATGTTAAAAGCGTATCCAGATACACATATAAAAATACTTACCAAGGAACATTTCAATAACAGATGCCTTCATAGTGAGGACAACAATCCCCATAAACATCAAAATGGCACCCTAGAGAGGAAGAAACAATAACACCATCACATTTCAGCCAAGAGTTCCGAGTTGGACGCTTGGAGTATGGGGAGGGGCCCCTTCATTTGGCATTGCTCCGTGGGGTCTCCAGATTCCAAGCTGCAGCTTTCTCCAAGGAGCCCACAGAGATGGCAGTGGCCAGCCTCGCTGGTACCCGGAGAGTCCATCCTCAGGTAGAAAGCCTACTCCAACTACCAGCCCCCATTCTTCAGAGATTTGGTCTTTCCTTAGAACTGAAAAGGAAATGACTCCATAATTTTGGCGAATAGTTTCAACGAGTCTTCAAATTAGGACAAAAGCTACACTTATGGTATTGAGAGAATATTTTTAGATTACAAATAAATGTTGCATTCATCATTCATGCAACAAATATTTATTGAACTCCCATTATATGGCTAGGTATTGTTAGGGAGGAGGTGATAAAAATTGAGCAAAGAAATAGTTCTTGCTCTTAAAAGATCTACAGTTTACTAGAAGTGGGAAAACATATGTAGACACGAATAACCTTAACATTAGAAAGTGTGCAGGCTCCATAAGGGAGTATAAGGGGAGTTTATAGACCAGAGGTTCTCAAACTTTGATGCATATTGGTATCATCTGGGAGTTTTAAAAGACCCTGATGCCCAGGCTGCACCTCAGACCAGTTGAATCAGAATCTCTTAAGGTGCGGTCTAGGTGTTAAGTTTTCTAAAAGCTCTGTAGGTAATTCCAATGTGCTGACAAGTCTGAGGACCAGTGATTTAGAGCAAGACTTCCTAAATCTTACATGCATAGGAATCACCTGGGGATCTTGTTAAAATGCAGATTCTAATCCCAAGTAGGTCCGGGATAGTGCCAGAGATTCCCCAAGAAGCCAGGAAATTTTAGAGGAAGGAGAGATTATGTCAGCCATGGGAAAAAGAGAAAGTCTCCTAGAGGTGATAGTAATTGGGTCATTTTGAAAGACAAACGTTTTGGACACGCAGAAATAGGGAGAAGTGACCCCAAGCGGAAGGAACAGCACTGACAGGAGCTCAGAGGCTGGGAAGCAGAGTAGATATGAAGATGCTGTTGATCTATATGGGGTTTCCTCCTTCTCCTGAGGCTGTGAGGAAACCCTAAAAGGTTTGGTCATACTACCATTACTCATTACATAGAGCGTATCCTATGTACTCTATATGGTCTTGAATCTTCACAATAAGCCAGTGTGGTAGATTTTATGATCCCTTCAGGAAACTAAGGCTTAGAAAAGTTTCTGGTCACACCCATGGTGACCAGGCAGTCAGTAGGACCAGATTGGGGGTGGGAGTGGTGGGAAGGATCTGCCCTGGGCATGGGCAATAAGGAAGAACCTCGTCTAGAGAATGTAAAGTTTAAGGTTGGTATGCTTTTCATTATCTTTGTAAGCTAGCCTTTCCAAGCAATGTCAATGATAAAGTACCCCCACCCTCCGGGGTGGATGGCTCCTGTTACATCCTCTCTGCCATTTAGTGCCACCGCTGTGTGGCCTAAATCTGGCATTCAAACCCTGCATGCCACTATGCCCCATGGTATGCTGCTAAATCTGCTCTCTGGGGGGAAAAAAAAGCCCCAACTTGTAGCATTTGTTGATTTCTGTGTGTAAATCTTCCATGGCTGATTTTGAAGCCACCAAAGTAGAGAAGTGAATACACAATCTGGTACTAGCTAGGTCCAGTGCAAGCTAATATCCAATATTTAGATTCAGGACTCTGCAGATTTTATTAGTAAAAAGCAATTATCAGATTATGGCCGAGGTAGTAATACCAGTACCTGATACAATTAACTTAAATAAAACTGTTTAGTATATGAAAGATTTTATTACAAACAATTAAATTAGGCAGCAAGAGTAACCTCAAAAAGAACTGATGATTTTGTTAATTTCCAGCAACAATTGCAATGTGTTAAATTTCCTAATAAAGGTAATTGACTACTGGTTACATAATAGGCAGATAACGGTTTTTAGTTTCAAAATAGAAATAAAACCATGTGTACAATCTATTTGCAATTTGATGCTTAAATAGCTGGGTTATGTTTTAGAAATAGGGTGATAACAAGTAATATTTTGTTTGTCTTTTACTATTTTGAGAAGCTCCAGAACAACTTATGTGTTTTTAGGCTTACACACAGTTACACAACCAGCCTCCTAACAAGGCATCTCCTTCTCCCTCTGACTCCATGATCCACACAACAGCCAGCATGACCCAGTTCAAAGTACATTGGTTCACAGCATTCCTCAGATCAAAACTCTAAAGTGCTTCCCACCTTACTCAGAATCAAAGCCAAAGTCTTGACAAGTGGCTTATGACCCTTTGTGGCCCCCTGACCTCATTTCTCCCTTACGTATTAAGGGTCTGGGCACACTGGCCTCCTGGCTGTTTCTAGAACACACATCTCATGGTCTCTGCACTTACTGTTTCCTTTACCTGGATGCCCTTCCCGCAGATGAGAACATGATTTACTCCCTCATTTCTTTCAAGTCTTTGCTTCAAAGTTATCTTCTCTTGAGACGTCTCCTTATCACCTAGCTTAAATTTATAATCCATCTCCCACCTACCACCAACTGGTACACCCTATTTTTTCTACTATTTTTTTCATGTTACTATCGCCACTGACATACTTTATAGTTTACTTATTTTACTTATTTATTGTTTGTGTTCTCCACTAGAATGCAAGCTTCATGAGGGCAGGGATCTGTACTTGATATTTTATGTGCTCAATAAATACACATTGAATCAATGAGTGAGTAGCAAAGGCTCTCTCCTTTCCCTAGGAAATAAAAAGAAGAAACAAAACAAAGACAATCTTATGAATACACTAAAAACTAGTGAATTGTACACTTTCAATTTATGGCATGTGATTTATTTCTCAATAAGCATTATCGATAGTCAACAAGCAGAGGGAAAATGGATTGCAGAGAGAAATGCTTGCAGATCTGTCTTACAACTTTAGGAGACATGAGGGATCTGATCTTTCCACGCTGGGATGGGTGGATAAAAACAAACAGGATTCCAGGAAACACTCTAACCTTGGAGGAGTTTTCACCCAAATGCTGACACCCTCGTGATGGAACAAGACCAGAATCACTCTGATCTCTTAGAATCAGAATGTTTTCAGACCTCTTTCTCACCACGTCAATCTCTCTCCTTGCTTGGTCTACTTACTCATAACGCTTAAAACATAAAGGTCCCTTTTGAAATGTGTGTAAAAAAAAATTCCAACCCTCTCTTAACCATTGCAGAGGTTGGGATGAGGATGGCCACCAACACCATTATGCAGTTACTGCAGACTGTCTGTGCCACAAAGCCATGCACAGGAATGCTGGAGCCCTACAACCCCACGTGCTCACTGGGGTTCAAAGAGAAACAATTGGAGTTTCCAAAAGCATGTGTTCCTGATCTGTGCATTTATGGCTTCTGCTGTGAACTGTAAAATAGAGTCCTGAATATGAAGTTCTCATGAAAAATGAAGCTTGATGGTGAGATAAAAATACATGCCAATGTAGTAGAGTTGCCAGCCAATTTAATTCAATCTCTTGTTGCCTGGAGTTAGAAAAGAGCAAGTTGGTAATAAATAATAACATTTATATGGTTCTTCATGGTTTTTTTCCTCCCATTTTTTTATTTGGATAAAATACACAAATGTAAAATGTACTAGCTAAACCATTTTTTAAGAGTACAGTTCAACAGGATTAAATACACTCATAATGTACCATCATCGGCACCATCTAGTTCCAGAATACTTTTTGTCTTGTAAAACTGAAATTCCATGCACATTAAATAAAAACTACCCATTTCCCCCATCTCCCAAACTCCTGGCAACCACCAGGCTGCATTCTGCCTCTAAGTACTTCATTTAAGCGGAATCATACATTTTTTGGCTTTTTGTGACTGGCCCATGTCAAATAGTATAATGTTTTCGGGGCTCATCCATGTTGTAGCATATGTCAGAATTTCTTTCTTTTTAAGGCTGAATAATATTGCATTTCATGTATAAGCCATAGTTTACTTACTTGTTCATCTGCTGATAAACTCTTGGTTTGCATCTACACTTTAGTTATTGTGAAAAATGCTGCTATGAACATGGATGTACAAATCTCTCTTTGAGACCCTGCTTTCAATTCTTTTGTGATTATTATACCTCAAAGGGAAATCTCTGGATCATATGGTAGTTTTATTTTTAGTTTCTTGAGGAAACACCATACTGTTTTCAGAATGGGGCTGCGTCATTTTGCATTCCCACTAACAGTGCACAAGGCTTCCAGGGTCAGCAGAGTCTCACCAACACTTCCTGTTTTCTGTCTCTTTTGATAGTTGTCATTCTAACGGGGGTGGAGTGGCATCTTATTGCAGTTTTGATTGGCATTTCTCTCATAATTAGTGATGTTGAACATATTTTTGAGTGCTTATTGGCCACTTGTCAATCTTTTGAAAAATGTCCATTCCAGTCCCTTGTCTAGTTTTGAATTTGGTTGTTTTCTTGTTGTTGAATTTTAGGAGTTACCTATACTTTCTGGATATTAATCTCTTATCACATATGATTTGCAAATATTTTCTCCCATTTTTTGTACTTTGTTTACAGTATTTTGGATGAACAAGATTTTTAGATTTCATAAAGACTAATTTGTCTATTTTTCTTTTGTTGTCTATGCCTTTGGGTGTCATATCTAAGAAATCATTGCCACCTCCAATGATTTGCAGCTTTTGTCCTCTGTTTTCTCCTAAGAGTTTTATAGTTTTAGGTCTTACATTTAGATCTTTGATCCATTTGAGTTAGTACTTGTTTACGGTGTTAGGTTCTTATCAGTTTAATATCTTTTCCCTATTGAATGGTCTTGGCACCTTTGTCCAAAAATCATTTGACCATAACGTTAAGGGTTAATTTCTGGCTCTCCATTCTATTCCATTTGTATGTATGTCTACCTCTATGCCTGTCCCACACTATTTTGATTACTATAGCTTTGTAGTAAGTTTTCTACATCA